TCCTATTTGTCAGAGGCATATAATCCAACGCCCTTCGTGGTATTAGCCAGGGGAGTAGTTGTTTTCTGATAGGCGTCAGTCCATTAAACATACTGTGTAGGTATCTCAAGACTGGCTTGAACGTTTGAAGTTCATTTGCTTTAGATTTGTTTACTGCCAGTCTTCAAGCATAGCCCACTGACTAATAAGAAAACCCAAAATAAAATTGTCCAATGAAGGGTTTTATACAGTGGTGATTATAAAGATACAAGTTCTAATAATTGAAATCAATCATTTCACAACTGAAATACATTTTCAGAAACCCTCTAAAGTAAAATTCCTCATAACGTAGAGAATAAGACAAACCTCAAGAACAGCCGTTAACAAAAAATTACTTACTTAAGATAATCGATGAGTCTAACTGTCGGCGAAAGACGATTCCGACTATGATAATGCTGATGGCACATAGATATATGGTCCATGACTGCCTGGGTGCGATATATTTTCTCTATGTTGATAAAACCCCTAGGTCCGACAGTCGTGAAGTGATGGTCTTCTCCGTTATAATCTGATATGAACTGTAAAAGATTAATTTTGTGAGACAATTGGGTTGGATCGTCATAAAAATTGCAATTGAATTAATGTTATCTGTATGGATTATCATGAATATGCATTATACTACATTTTGTCTTCGGGTAACGATGAGTTGTACAAAGTGTGATTTTATTTGAGAGATAAGTATCTGATATATGAAATTCTCGTGTCACAATGTTAGTTTGCCATACTCCTCGGAAAAGGCATGACCAATTTTCATGAAATTTTATATGTATATTCGAAAAGGTTATACAGGCTGATTCACGATGGATGGCACATTAGACGTTTCTGGTGAACCAGACAACGGATCACTTTGAAAATTTAATGGAGGGCATATTCGGACATTCTCTAGCCAACTAAAATATTTTCGACAATGCGGTGTTGCCGCTTCTATTAGAAAGCAGTAGCAACTTTGATTTTTCAAATGGAACACTCTGTATATAATATTATTTTTGGAATC